CCCGGGGGTCCCGAGCCCTCCGTGAGCCCCAAAATCTGCCCCCAGCTCCAGCGGCGCGCAGAGGAGCGAGGAGGAGGAAGGTGAGGATGGGGGGGATACCAAAAAAAAAATTAAAAATAGGGAGAATCCCTCCAAAAAAATGGGGAAATCCCGCAAAAATGGGGGAAAAAATTCCTGCAAAATGGGGGAAAATATTCCCAAAATATGGGGGGAAATGTCCCCAAAAATGGGGGAAAATATTCCCAAAAAATGGGGGGAAATGTCCCAAAAAATGGGGGAAAATATTCCCCAAAAATGGGAGAAAATATCCCAAAAAATGGGGGAAAATATCCTCAAAAAATGGGGGAAAATATCCCCAAAAAATGGGAGAAAATATCCCCAAAAATGGGGGAAAATATCCCCAAAAATGGGGGAAAATATCCCCATAAAATGGGGGAAAATATCCTCAAAAAATGGGGGAAAATATCCTCAAAAAATGGGAGAAAATCAGAGAAAATGGGGAAAAATAAAAAAAAGGGGAAAAATAAGAAAAGGAGGGAAAGCCCAAAAAATGGTGGAAATTTCCCAAAAAATTGGGAGAAGTCCCAAAAATCCCCCTAAAATGAGAAAAAGTCAAAATTCAGGGGGAAATACCAAAATATGGGGAAGAATCCCAAGAAATGAGGAAAAGTCCCCAAAAATGGGGGAAAACTCCCAAAAATTGGGGGGAAATCCCCAAGAAATGGGAAAAAAGTCCCTAAAAATTGGAGATTTGAAGGAATATCTTTTAAAAATGGGGAAAAAGTTGAGTTAAACCTGGGAATTTTGGGGGGGTTTGGGGTGTGGAGGTGGGGGGAGCTGGAATTTGGGGAAAAAGGGATAATTTGGGAATTTCTGGATTTTAGGGTGGGAACGTTTTCGCTGCGCTGAGCCGGGAGCAGAGCGAGGACGAGGAGGAGGAGGAGGAGGAGGAGGAAGAGGAGGAAAAACCAACCAAGGGCAAGAGCAGCAAGGTGGGGCAGCGAGGGGAAATCCCGGAATTCGGGGGAATCCTGGAATTCGGGGGAAATCCAGGAATTTGGGGGAATCCCAGAATTTGGGGGAAATCCCGGAACTCGGGGGAAATCCCAAAATTCGGGGAAATCCCGGAACTCGGGGGAAAATCCCAAAATTCGGGGGAAAAAACCCCCAAAACTCCAAGGGAAAATCCCAAAATTCTGGAAAAAAAACCCAAAATTCGGGGGAAATCCCAGAGTTCGGGGGAAATCCCGGAATTCGGGGGAAATCCCAGAATTGGGGGAAAATCCCAAAATTCTGGGGAAAAAACCCCAAAATTCCAAGAGAAAATCTCAAAATTCTGGAAAAAAACCCCAAAATTCGGGGGAAAATCCCAAAATTCGGGAGAAATCCCAGAATTAGGGGAAATCCCAGAATTTGGGGGAAATCCCAGAATTCGGGGGAAAACCCCAAAATTCGGGGGAAAATCCCAAGATTCCAAGGGAAAAATCCCAAGATTCCAAGGGAAAAATCCCAAGATTCCAAGGGAAAAACCCCAAAATTTGGGGGAAAATCCCAAAATTCGGGGGAAAATCCCAAAATTCCAAGGCAAAATCCCAAAATTCTGGGGGAAATACCAAGATTCTGGGGAAAATCCCAAAATTC